TTTGGTTGAATCCCGCAACTTGGCGATTGCGAATTGTCAAGTTCCACAGTCCAGTGATGCGTCGCTGGACCAAGCCATTCCCCTCGCACTTATTGCCTTGAGATGTATGAGGGGCTTACGACCACTCATACTTCTCCAACTCTGCAAAAATAGACAGTATAGTTTATAGTGCTTCCATTGTTCTTGTTGAGCGGATCAGTCAATATTAATATTTGTTTCTTTTTCAATTTCAAGACAATAAGACAAAGCACATTCAGGGCTTATGAATGCGGAGTCGAAGACTAGCCACAAATTCTGGTTGGTGAGTTTACACAACATGTATATTTGTTTAGTACGATAATCTCATGAACACCTTTTCCATCTTACAAATAGTGAGCACTATGAATACCAAAGGTATTGCCACAGAAAGTCAACACGGATACAAGTTGTCAAAATGACAATTTCGTAAACTTATACTGTACTTTTAGGTTGTTTCGAATCTCCAGAATGTCTTTTTCGACATATCATGCATCGATCCATGCGAAAATAACTTATACTATCTTTGAATAAAAAATACAACCACACTATTAAACTTACACTCCTGAAATACAGCCCACGCATCCACTAACAACTTTACTAGTTTTCACATTGACTTCCTTTTTTGATTTCTATTTGGGTGAGGAAATTATCTCCAACATACTCTGATAAGAACAAGTTCAGTCTTTCCTTTCGCTCTGTACAGCTCTATCACTCCATATATTGATTGGCAATAAATTATAAATTATTCCATGTTTTGGCCGACGTACACAATTACATTATTAGGAAAGACGTTATTCTCGCTTAACTTAATGTGGGCTATGGCACCATAAAGGTTACGAAATTCGTTTTAAGCTTTGGTAGAAACTTGCTACGCAAGTTATCTATGATAAAATGTTAAACGTTGATAAGTATACCAAATTTGCAACCGGACACATAATTAGAAATCGTGTGTGCAGTTATTATTATGTAATATGACAATTTGGTTAGAGCGTCTAACACAATTAAATTATTGAGTGTCCACAAGGTCGACATACGCGTATACGCTCGCGCTGCATAGTTATCTTATTTTTGAAATACTTCTTTAAAATAAATTTATTGTCAAGTTATTATTGTAATTGCTGTAAAATCACCAAGCTTTCTAGCGAATTCGTGGATAAGGATAAATGGCTTGATATGATTATGGCACTTAATTGATTTGTCACACACTGCTGTGTCGATATTAACAAATTGCATAATAACAGCTACTAGTTTAGTTGCGCGAAGAATAATTGATGGACTAGCACTACGTTCTTTTATAAAAAATGCCCCAGTAATCAATATTGCACACGTTAATGTTATTTTGTGCATTTAAATCGCTATGCGTGATTTATTGAAAAGTATAGAAGCAACAGTATTGATGATAAATAACATATTATGATAATATTAACATCATATTAGTTACAAATACATAAAATTTAATGGTGATGGAGAGAAAGAAGTTTTTCGATAACTTCGACCGACACATGACTTGATCCTCCAACTGCAGCCAGTGCACAGTAAATGCGTGGTTTGGAGCCTGATAAGATGTCGGTAAATCCGATTACCACAGTATAATCTTCCGGCAAGGACGGCGGTGCTTTAACTGTAATAGGATTGTCAACTTTACTTATAAGAGCGGTGGGAGTCTGTAGTGCAAGTACGACGTCTTTGTAAAAAGCAATGTAAATTGGTACGGCCTTGGAAAGCTCAACTCCAGAAATCGAAAATTCAACGAGTTGACCAGCAACGATAAGATCTGGCGATATTGTTATTGTCGGTGTAGTACTTTTGACAGGAAGAGGACATTTTCTAAACTCGGTCTTTCCTTTTTTGTGTAAGTGCGGAACAGCGTTGATTGTTGAAATTGCGGTCAACACGAAGAATAAAAAAAGCAGATGATATTTCATGGCTTTCGTTGTTATCAATAATTACAAGTTTTCCTTTTCTTTTTCCCTGTTGAAATGCTACCCTACCCACCATACTTATAGAAAATTACATGCTTAAATAATATTTTATACGATATCAGAAAGAAGAAAATAACACCGACGAGTGCCAATAAGGGAAAACAACAATTCTGATTTTGGCGAGTAAAATAACAATATTACACATGAGAACAAGCAACACGTATTGATCGTTATTACATACTCGGTTGATATACAGTGCACAGAAAAGCTTTTGGATTGATGTTTTTATTAATTGTGCTACGAAAAATAGTCAGAGAAACATGACATGTTTATCAAACTGTTTCACTTATTGCTGCCTAATAACTTACTATTACCACCTCAATATTATTTATTCAATCTCGTTGGCATGTTAATATGTGCTTTGGTCGATCTCTTTCCATTCTACAACGAAATTTATTATTTTTATATTTAATTCTTTCATTATCAGATTACACATGGCATGGTAAGTAAATAAACGGTTTGCGTCGGGCTCTCCGGTTGACAAATTCATTCATTCAGCATCAAAATCTATTGACATTAATATTAAGCCGTTAATTGGTTAGAACATTTGATAAAATTGGCTTTAACATGGCAAGGAAATAAAGGGCTTACGTCGGGTTTTCCGATTGATAAATTTATTTGTTCGGCATATCAAATCTGTCCAATATTAATATTGAGCCAACTTTGTCAAATGCATTAACCGATGAACGGCATTATTAAAGTACAAAGTAATTTGTTTCAGTTAACAATTTAATATCAGTGTAAATACATCTTCAGATCGTGTGTTTAAAGTTACGGGTAAATCCTTTCCAGGGAAAAATAATCGAAGTTTAGTGTGATTAATATATAAATATTTTTGATAATAATTCTTCCAGAATATCTGCCTAAAACGGTTGCAATATTATATTACCATTTTAATAAAGACCATTATTGACGAGAAAGTTATAGAATATGACGTTTTACCGATCAACTATTTAATTGGTCTACCATATTACTTAATCATGTGAAAGAACGGGTTCGGTTCATTTCACCGACAATCATTTTACCGACAGGTACATTTCGCCGACAAAAACTACAAAAAAGAATAACTTCAAAATAATGTTGGGGAATTTTGTCGGTGAAATAACTGTCAGTAAAATGATTGTAGGTGAAATAAATGCCTCCCGAAAGAACTGACGGAAGACATTTCTACAGAGTTGCTAAATTTAACCGCAAAAATTTCTTGAAATTACCAATTTTTAAGTAGAAAAAAGTTTTTTGTATGAGAATAATACGCAGATTACCAAACCAAATTGCAACGAGACAACACGACGTCCAGAAGGATAAGTAGCTGAGAAAAAATAGTGGAGGTTACCTACAGGAAGTAAATCTCACATACAAACACTGCTCTAACTGGAGAAAAATGCAAAAATTGCAAAGCGTTCTAGAATATAGATTTCCCGTGTATTAAATTTTATTTTAATGTACTAATAATGTAAATGTTGTATGTAAATTCCGTCGTTATGTAAATTCCGTCAAAGGTCACCAAATTTCTTAGCAAGGCCCTCAAAATAAAACCGAGTTTAAACACGCTCAAATATCTTGGGTAAGGAACAAGTCGTATTTATTACTGTTTAAGCGTCGTACTTTCGCTGTTTTAATAGACATAATGTCTTTAGTCTTAAGCTCTCACAGACTCTATTACGGCTTTTTGGCTCGCATTAGGCTCGGTTTTACTGTTATAGCTTATTTCGGCTTATCATCTAACTCACAGACTAAACCGGTTTTCTATCGTTTACTAGAAGACATCAAGAGTTCTGGAACCGCTGTTAGTCAGTATACAGCGTACGTGTTTTTATGTAACCCATCACTATGTATCCCGTCGAAGGGTCCCAAAATCTATGTACCACACTTATCAGTTGTCTATAACAATAAATTTATTTGTAGAAAAAAATTTCGCAAGACAATAACATAACTCATTCTTACAATTGACAGCCAACACTCTCCTTATGACTTAGCGCGGCGCATTTATGTTTGTTTTTCTACAACTACATCACATGCGTCTTTACAATTACATTTTACTTGACTAGTTTTGACCTCTTGCCGTTTCCCTTACGCTTACAATTCGTTGAGGTATTTTATCAAATCTGGGAACTCATTGAATTAAATACATGATAGCATAAAATTTCGGCTGCACACCCCAATCAATATTTTTCATGTGATTTTCCAAGAAAATAACAATCGATCGACCCTATACCGATCGATATGCGGAATCAAAGATTTCATTTAAGTTCAATAATAATAATACAATTTCGATCATGTAATCTCAAATTATACGAATAGGACTTAAGCAATACAGTTAGACCGAGCATAATGTAAATCAAAAGCTGTAGAGAGGTGCGAGCTTAAAGACTATGACAATAAGTCTATTAAAACTAGCAAAAGTGTGTGCGTCTGGGAACAACAATGAATACAGCGTGTCCTTACCTACAGTATTTGAACATGTTTAAACTCGGTTTTTTATTTTGGGGACTTTTGGCGTAATTTACATAGTGACTGGATTTACCTGAAGAAGTAAGTCCAAAATTTTAATATGGGAAATGATGCACGCAAAACGACGAATGGGAAATCATCGACAAATCAGGTTAACATCGAGCATCAAGTGATCAAAGTAGGTATTTACTATTTACGTTAATTAACCCTAGTTGGGTACAATCGACGGTTGATGTAAAAAGTTTTCGAAATGACGTTTTTATTAATCAAGAACTAATAACAGAATGCGTACAAAAGCAATTGTTGGCAGCAAATAATCGGAGCGTGAAATTTACAGGAACGTCCTTTGTATGCAACAAAAATGTTGTACTTATTGCTGCTTAGTGACTTACCTACTACCATTTCCTCAATTGCTTCATTTAATCTCATCGGCGTGCTACGAACTAACGTATGTGCTTCTGTCGATCTCTTCCATTCCCGCAATTAACCCTAGTTTGGGATTAGTACGATCAACGGTTCTTGGAATGACGTTTTTATTAATTGTGTAACGAAGAAACATGGAAATTTGCAGACGTTTTACTTATTCCTTCAATCTCGGTGCATGCTACGAATCAAATTAACGTATGTGTTTCTGCCGATCTTTACGGATCATTCTACGAAAGATTTCAACTGTGACCGTTTGACCTGTTTTTCAACCCATGTCTTTAAAATTTGCAATAAAGTTTTAATCAGGTTGATATCTGGGCTGTTTGAGGACTAGTCCAACAATTTTGGACAGTGCCGTGCAAGAAGCTTCCCTGTTTCTTTAGCTGTGTACTTAGGGTCGTTATCTTGTTGAAAGGCCCAATTTTTACCCATAATCTTATTTGCATTTTCAGACAGATTTCAGTTAGTATCTTTCGATACAAAGCACCGTCCATGATATCCGTAAAAAAGTAAAAAAACCCGATTGGATTTTTTACAGAAAACGCACCTCATACATGAATTTTGTATGGGTGTTTTACGGGGAAGTCGTGCACCAGTTTATAATACACTTTTTGGATATTTTCTGAAGAGCCATTCAGTTGAAGACATTTTTATAGCTCAACGCGACTTTATATATATTGCATGCGAATACTAAACCGAAATCTTATACAGTGTGACACATGTATTTGACCCCATAGTTTCAGCATGACCGTTCGCCATTAATGGTAATTTCAGGGCAATTATAATTTAGGTATGCACGTATATATAGGGTAAAACCCTAGAAATCTTCAAACGTATTTGCTATAAAAAATATTTTAAATAAGTAGATTTATAGGTCCTGTCTCCTGAAAAACGGCTGAATATTGTGATATGCCACAAGTTTGGCACCAATGAAACTCCTGGAAAGTGGAAAGAGCGAATTTGGACTCGTTTAACATATTTCGGACAAAACAATCTGTTACGGAATCAGAGTAAAAGATATCTTGAAACTAGGAGAAGTACGATTTCCAGATGGCACTTCGTATGCTCCGGAATCGGAGTAGCAATATGTTTCTCTTGAGATAAATTAGTATATACTGGATTAAGAAAGAAGAATATAGGAAATCATAACCATGTAGGATGGAGAGACATTAGAAATTTTATGTGCCAAACAATTACGTGATGAATTTAATAAGCACGATATATTATCTTATTACTCGATTTTAATAAACAAGATTTATTTTTTTTCCGCACTGTAAAATATATGTCGAAGTCCGTGCACTCTGTGCATTAAAATTGAATCCCGTTATAGACATACATGTGCAAATCTAAAAACATAAAAGCATTTAGATACATTAATCTTTATAATAATCGAAGAAGGAGATAAATTTTGCTGGACACCACAAGTTTTTACTAACAAAATTCCTGAAAAGTGAAAACACCGAATTTGGTGTTGCCTGTAGTATTTCATAGAAAATAATTTTTTGACTATCGAGAGTAAAAAACTTTTAATAATTTTTAACATGCTTCCAAGATGGTACACTACACGCTTCTACGATAGAAATTGCAATCTGCTTATCTTGCAACGAAGTAGTATACATAGTAATAGGAAAAAACATTAAAACTATGGAGTATTATTGGAAGTCTGCATGTACTGGTAACATTGCAAACTTAAGTATGAATGCTTTTGAAAATAAACATTTGACGTTATGCGTGCTTTACACTACTATAAGCTATGGATAACAAAAAACGCAATTAAAAGTGCATATATGTTTCTCCCAATTTTCTTCCCCTAGGTGTGCGTTTATATGAATGTACGTAAATACTGCTGTATGGAATTTTAACAAATTAAAAAACGTATTAAGAATGTATGTGCTTACAAATTGTAATTTTGTAGAAACTTTTATGTACTGCTATTTGTCACGCAATTGCAAAATATATAAACAATTTTTATCATATATTATTTATTTTTTGTGACGGTAATGCGCAATAAAACACGACAGTACAAGTAAGCCACATTTATATTTACTCCCTAATTATTCGAATAA